TGTTTTCAAAGTTTCGCCGCGTTTTTAGATTGATGCTAATTTCCGTTCTCACTCTTTTCAAACTTGCAACTGAAGCGGAAGTTTTTGACTAGTTGGCCGCGGGCCAAAATTGAGCTCGAGGATTGCAATTAGCTAGGGAAGAGGACGGATAGAGAAGCTAGGCCCGGCTAGCTGCTGGGGGGCCCTAAAATAAGCCCAATCTCGCGGAGCCTGTGGGGCAACATTTTGAATCCTGGCGCGGAGAAGCGCGCGTAAAATTGGTGAGAATTCAAACATGACCGTTTGGAGGCTAGAAATAGCGCACACTTCAAATGAAAGCGTAAAAAAGTGCTCATACAAAAAAATCTCAATTTTTTCAGATCGTTTTCCTTGTATCAATCGTCTCGTTGGGCTTTGGCACGATTGTCGCCACGTATGATATCGATCGCTTTGGCGCTGGGCTGTATTTGGTACGTTAAAATTAAGTAAAAAAATTAAACAGAATGTAATTATTAAGGTTTGACCATAGCTTTTTTTGGTTTTGTTCTGTTAGAGGGGGGCTTGTTCTACGAGCTCATTACTTCTAAAAATCGTTGCCTCTAAAAACGTTGCTCCTAAAAGTTGGTACGTCGGATAATCAGTTTTTCGGCTCGTTTGGCCATCGGTATGCCCAAATCGACGCTTCGAATTCTAGGTTTAATCAAAGAAATGTTTTAGATGAGCTTTTAGCAAAATTGAAGAAGCAAACAGATGTGAAAAAATGCTTTTTTAGCACTCTGTGAGCTAACCTGAATATTTATTTAGTGCCTCGTTTCCGTGGTCACCATCGTCGTCGCGCTCGCATTCTGCCTTGTCGGCACGGATGAGCAGGTAAGCTTTTTCACTTTTTCAACTTTATTTCTACCCCTGTTTCCCTTTCAGACCGAACCCACCGTCGCCAAGAAGGTCTGGTCAACAACAAGGCAAACGATAAGAAGGTGATTTCTCCAAATGGTCTCTGCTAGCCTGCAATTACTTTAGATATGCTCGCAGCAAAGCCGAGCCGTCGAAAATCGAGATCAAAATAGCGAATATCGATTTGTCGGATGAGGAGGAGAGTGAGGAGAGTCACCAGATGGAAGAGGAGAAGAAGGGGCAACGAGCAGTGGTTATTAGGGAAAATACAGAGGTCTGTTCAGATGGGAATTTCCATAGAAAATCATTTTTAGAGTCAAGAAACGGACCCGAGTTGGCCGAGCACTTCTGGGTCCACGACGATACGGCCTATCCCGGAAATGGTTGAGCAAATTGACGAGACAATGGACGAACCGCCGGATGAACAAGTTTAAGCTGAATTAATTGCTTCTGCGTAAATAATCGCGCTATTTTGCTAATTTTATTTGTATTGATGTGCTGCGGTTTTTAAAAATACTGCATTTCTTATTTATGCTTGCTCGATGGTTCTCTGTATATATAAGTTACGGGTAATGTTCGGCGTGCAATAAAGATATCAATTTATGACGCAAATAATAGCAAGACAATTTTTCAAAACCTGAAGATTGGTATCCGGCAGGAGATGCAGTTTTCCTGAGAAATTACCCACGATATCGGCTAGTATAATTGTATTTACGTACGCAAAATTTTTCTAAACTTCGAAAATCGCTGCTATTCCTAGAGCAGCAACACGTTTAGAAAAAAAAATTTTTGAGTAAAATCTGGAAACATTGGTCCGCTCATTCGAAAGCGACGATTGCTCTGCGTGGGATGTGCTAATTGGTTTTTCCTGGATATTTTTTTTCTTCAAAGCGACCACTTAGCAGTTTGTGAAAACGGATTCGGAATCCGGCAAAATTCTGCACATTGTAGGTCTAGTGTCGTCTCAAAATTCAATTCACACTAAAAAGCGTTTCCTTGAACGTTTGTTGTCTTTAAGAATCGATTTTTATTGCAGTTGCCTCAAATGTCTTGGCAAATCGGCAAGCCCTAAAGTATAGTATTCACAGTTTTTTATTCAACTTTTATGAGCATCATTCTGAACTGCACCCAGGCGGCCTGAAATCGGCGATAAGACCCACGTTTCCGCGGGCCAAACTATGGATGGCATCCGGGTTTCGATAAGGGAATAGGCACTCGTCTTCTTCGATTGGCCATGCTTTCGAAAGGTAAATAATTTGCAAAAAAGCCTTAGATTTTGATGGTTTCAGCGGTCATCGCCAGCGCTCTGCTAGCGGTCGTTCTGGGGTAAGTAACACCAAAATTTTGTCGGAATTGTCGCAAATGCGCATGCGATTCGAACTGCGATGTTCAGGGCTAGGACTTCGCAAACTTTTTTCAATTTCTAAAATCTTTTAGTGGTTGGGGAGACCCGTTGCGGGACCTCGGTGTGCCGAACTATGACTGTGGAGCGGATTTGATGAAGCCTAGTGCAAAGGTTGGCGAAAAGAGCTGAAAAAACTGTAGTCATAGGCTGGTGTCTTGCTTAACTAGTCAGTTACCACGAAAAACCTACAATTCGGCGTTTCAGATCCCCACAAATGTCAACTCGGTTCGTCCTGGTGACATCAAGGTGGTGATGGCGCTCGGGGATTCGATTACGGTATGAAAAAAGCTTTAACATTAAGCCATCCGCGACGTGAGAGTTCTTTGCCTTCGACAAAGGCGTCCAAGAACGTTTACTCCTAGCTTGATTAGCTAGCTCACCGAGTTGCAAAAACTTTGAAAAGTTTAATGGAAGGAGAAAGAACGCAACTCGTCCAAATGGCGTAGTTTTTTTGAAAAATTTGCGACGCTGTTTTTTTTATTCGGCTACGGTAGCAAAGTGAGTGTTACGGTAGTTTACAAGCAGTTTTCTACTAGCTGATTTTTTGCCTGTTCAATAACATTATCACAAGCTCAATACCAAAAAAGGACCAGCGAAACTCGCAGAAATCGTCATGCTCTGTAAAATTGCAAGGATTCGTCAAACTGATGCTTTATCTAGGCTTCAAAATGCCATATTTTAGGCAGCAAATGGCGCTGGTGCCGAAGATCCACTAGCCGTCGTCCTCCAGTATCGTGGTCTAGCCTTCATGGCGGGCGGGGACAAGTCGCTCGAGCAGCACGTCACCATCCCAAGTATGTAGCATATGATTTCCGATTTGTTAATACCATTTTGGCGCTTATCTTCAACTTTTCAGACATCCTGAAGAAGTACAACCCCAAACTCTACGGATATTCGCTCGGAATTGGTGGTCAAATGGTGTGGGAGGTCGCCCAGTTCAACTTGGCCTATCCCGGGGCAAACGCAAAGGATCTACCGGATCAGGCAAAGGATCTGGTGGCCAGGATGAAGGCTCATTCTGATGTAGGTATTTTTGTGATAAAGATCTTACGTCTCGTTACCAAAAACATATCTCGGTACAATACGGGTGGCGCTTTCCAGCGCCCCGCGTCACCTCAGATTTTGTATCTCATTGGCCTGCTGGCTTACAGCGGTGTAAAGTATACCAAAATGTCCATCTAGCTCTGGCGAGTATTTTGGCATAATTAACAACCCTGTAGGACGACGAGGAGCCAAGATACAACGGGTGGAGGCCGGCTCGGAGGGGGGGGGGAACTGCACATAGCTAATATCCCGCTTCAGGTCATCGACATGGCCAACGACTGGAAATTGCTGAACATCTTCATTGGCGGAAATGACATTTGTGGGCTTTGCAGACATCCGGTAGAATATTAACAACGTTTTTCATAGATGTTTAAGGACTACGCGCCGTCAAACTGCGTGGCCGAAATTCGTCAGGCCGTCCAGTACATCCAGGTATTTTTATTTTTCGTTCTTAAACCCAACAATTTATCTGAAAAAGTCGAAAATCAATTTCAAAAAATTTTTCTTTTTAGGACAACGTGCCAAGGGTTATCGTGAACCTGATGTCAATGCTGCATCTCGAACTACTTCGCCAGGTCGACACCGGAAATATGTTCTGCTTGGCATTGCATACGTAAGTTTTTTCGGCTTATCACTTCTTTCCAATTCTTTCCACGGAGTATCGCTACATACCTTTTTGCAGCGATGAATGCGGCTGTGAGCAAAACAAGAACTTCACTGATGCAATGATCTCGGCCGCTTGTACAGAATATCAACAGCTAGAGACAAAACTACAGGATGACGGCATCTTTGAGAAAGACGATTTCACATATGTCGTCCAGCCATTCGCCAATGAAATTATTCACCCGCCTAGCTATCCGGTAAATTAGGCCCTGATCTGGTCCTCTCACTCTCTCTCTCTCTCTCTCTCTCTCTCTCTCTCTCTCTCTCCCTCTTTCTCTCTGAAAATGACATCTTTCAGAACGGCACTGTGGATTCGGACTTCTTCTGCCCCGACTGCTTCCACTTTTCTCAATATGGCCATGCCGTCACAGCTACATGGGTTTGGAAGAACATGCTTGAGCCGGTAGGTAGCTACCGCCGTCAAAAATAATATCTCAACCCTAGTAAAGAATTGTTTTTCGATCGGTGTTTTAGGTAGGCAAAAAGACGACCAAGGGCAATCTCTCCGTGCCGGCTCTACCGCTGGCCTGTCCGGATCCGGTATGGGCTTGGAGAATAAGAGCCTTGAAATTCCCACCCACCTCTCGACCCAATCCTTTTTTCAGAAATGCCCCTTCATCCGGACCACCAAGAATTCGGCCGACTGCTCGAAATATATGACGGAGTAGCTGCCTCCCAAGGATCGAATTTGTTACAATAATGAGAGCAGATTCAGAGATTTTCGACAATTTGCAGCACGCTAAAATCCTTTTTAAAGCGGGGAAAAACGGAAACTGTCAATTCAAAAGAAAATTAAAAATGAATAAATAAAATTAAAATTAAAAATGAAAAATATAAAGAAAGATTCTTTAGTGTTATTCGAAGATTTTTTTAAGTGTTATTCGAGGATTTCTTAGGGTTGTTCGAGGTTATTTGTGTTATGCTAAAAATCCCCCGCTAACAGTCCAGAACCGAATCCCCTTTACCTTGAAATCAGGATGCAGATGCGCGAAAGCGAGCCAGTCAAACGGGCTCATTCGACCCCAATCATTTGTTGCAGCTCCATGGGCAGCGCCTTGAACCTGTCGATGACGATGTAGCCGGTACGGACGTGCTAAGCAAGCGTGAATTAACTGACAAACCCCCTCCACACCTCCTTCATGACTAGCAGACAGGTACGGAGATCCAGGGCAAGCCGCCAAGGAAGAGGAAAACCGCGAAAAAGTTTTATTCCATAGCCAAATTCCATCGAATGCCAAGTTTATTTTCCCCGGTAAAGTAACCACAGGTGCAAATTTTCATTCCCGGAATTCAATATTTATTCTGCACACACCGGCGGAAATAAGCCCAGAATCCGCGACATTTGGGAACGAGGAATCACAGAAAAAGGGTGTGTAGAAGAGGAACAGGAGAAGCCATTGCCAGCCAATAGGGGCATAACGACATGCAAAAAGCGATATAAATCGGCGCGGATGGGTTGATCAGCAACTAGGCGCCCGTCGAGTCCACCGAGAAGCCGCCGGTGCGGAAAGCGTTCAGGTAGGTGAGCGTGCGGCGGCACCAGTGGAGCCCCCAGCTGAAAAAAGAACGATTTTGCGTTAAATAGCTCATTCGATGGAGAAAATTTTTCTAAATACGATTTTTCTAATTCTTTTTTGTGAAATCAGCCGGGAAAGGCAAAATGAATGGCTTTGAAGTTGGCAAATTTGGGAAAAATGGAAGTTTGAAGCGCTATAACTTTTTAAAACGAGTTATTTGGCAAAAATGAGCAGCGGATTCAAAAAAGAGCAAAAAATTATGCACAAAATAGGCTGGGTCCCATCAGGAACCGCCGCCTCGACCTGATGTGGTTCCCTTGTAAGCAACTTACACAAAGCAGACCATGCTCCATGTGGTTTTCGAGGAACTCAATGTGGAGGGCCTAAGAGAAGTGGGTGGTTGACATTGGCCTTGCTACCATGTCCAGGGCCAGCTCTCGGCGCGGAATGTCGCCGTAGGCGTTGATGAACGCGCTGAGGGCGTTGTTGAGGATAAGCCTCTTCGCGTTGACCTGTTCCTGGAAGACGGTGACCAGTTAAAGGAAAGCGAAAGGCAATCCGTAATATGACCCGGGCCGCATTGCCGACGCAGCGCGTCCAAAAACTCCACCTGCGCCTGCGGGGTGAGGTTGTACTCGACGAGGGAGAGACGGCCGTCGCCCATCTCATGCGTGTTGCGCGTGGACCAGCCGCGCTCACGCTCAACCTCCTTCATCGTGTCGGTGAGGCTCAGTCCGGCGTTGATGTAGGCCATCTCCTGGGCAGGGGTGCGCGTGCTGGAAAACGATGATGAAGGTGGAGGTTCTGTGAGACCCCCCTCAGCCGGCACCCGACTTTTGTATCTCGGCCCCCTGTTCATCTACAGGTGTGCAACGTATACCAAAATGTTCGCCTTGCTCTGGCGAGTATTTTGGTATAGTTTACAGGCCGCTACAACTGCCGGTTGTCGATATATACTAGGTGGGGGCCGGCTGCGAAAGGGGGGTGGGTAATCTAAACCACAGCCAAAAAAAATACCCCGGCTAGAAAATTTTTGAAGAATAGAAAATTTATTTTTGTAGCTTTTAGAAAAAAGCTAAGCGTAGGATTAGCAGAAATAAGTTAAAACGCTGTTGCTAATTATATCAGAAAATTTGTTGAAAATAGAAAAAATGGTTTTGCCTCCGATAAGCACCCCCCCGTTAATGCCAAGGCGCCCCCGAATTATACCTGCGGAACGCATAGCTGCATCCGGCCAATATAATCGAAAAGCGAAGGGTGGCGACAACGCAGAGACCATCGTCGCTCTAGAAATTCCACCGGATTACGGGCGTCTTGCCAAAAACACGTACGTCCGCACGACGCCGGAACCGCACGTTCATTGTCTGGGATAGCGCGTCCAGCTGTCCCTTCCCCAGCTCCGATACCGCCAATCGCAGTCCTTAAAACATTTGGCTTTTTCTTTAAAGGGGCTCGGAAGTCAAAATTCCTGCGTGTGGGGGATTGCACCTAGTGGTCAAAAACGAAAGGGATGCAAAGGCATGATTCCAGCGCCCAAGGCCCGCGAAGCGGATTTTGGGCGCTGGTTTTCATAATTAAAAAGTGTGGAATGCTCAAAATTCGATGAAGATTCCAGAAATAGCGGCAGCATTTTGAAATTCAAGCGTTTTCACGGCCAACCAGGGGCAAAAGATCATGCGGCGGGGTCGCGTTGCGGTGCCATCCGGCTATCAACTATAATAAAAAAGTTGAGACGTCCGTGTGTGTGAAGCCGAATTCAACTCGAAGGGGAAAGGAGCTAGAGCTTAGGTCTCTTCGGATTCGGATAGAGCGTGGTCAGAAACCCCCCAAACTGATAAAAAAAATTATGAAAAAGTTTTAGTTTAAATTATTAAAATTAACTTTGAAAGTTTTTTCCTTAGTAAAAGGGGTGGGGACGGAGGTTGGGGTGATTTTGGACATAGTGAGCCAGGTCGCGCGCGTTTCGTGGATGAAAATTTTCACGGGGGATTTCATTTCTTTTTTTTCTCTCATTCCATCCGGTCGGTCGTTATTTTTGTTTTTTAAGGGGATTTCGGCTAGGGGAGGTATCTTAAACCATCGGGAAGGTATTCAGGTAGTTTTTGAAGGGGATTTCAGCCCTGGGGGGTAGCTGTAGCTATCGGGAAAGTATTTAGGTAGTTTTTGAAGGGGATTTCGGCTAGGGGAGGCACCTTAGACCATCGGGAAGGTATTTAGGTAGTTTTGGAAGGGGGATTTCAGCCATGGGGGGTATCTGAAGCCATCAGGGAGGTATTTACGTAGTTTTTGAAGGGGAATTCGGCTAGGGGAGGTATCTAAAGCCATCAGGAAGGTATCGATGTAGGTTTTTTTGAGCGGATTTCGGCTAGCGGAAGTATCTAAAGCCAAGTAAAGTAGCTAAGTTTTAGCAGGGGTTGGCCATAGAAGGCATCTGAAGCGACCAGCGTGGGTATTGATGAAGGTAAAGGTGTAATGTGGTGGTGTATAACATGGAGGGTAGCCCGAAGGCCAGTCGATTACAGTCGCGAAGCGGCTGTAATCGGCTGGTTTGCCAGAAATCAACACGGGGGGGGGGGCGTTGACCAGATTTAGTAGCCCCTTTAAGCCCCACCCGTCATGACGGGGGCCCAGGCGAAGATATCGAATTCGGCGGCCTCCACGATACCGTCGAGCATGAATTCGATCGAGTCGATCTCGCGCTCACCGGCTTTCCATTGCTAAAATGAAATATGCAAGCCGTTTTTCCGCTTAGGTATATACAGGGTGACCAGTTGAAAGTGTATACAACTCGATATTGATAGAAATGGCCATAAAAAATTTCCTAAGCTTTTTTAAACCTTTATGCTTATTGGAGGTAAACAAAACCGGTAATACTATGAAAGTATCAACAGATTTTGGAGGTAGATTCGGTTGGGTGCGAAATACAGCTTCCAAAATGTTGCTCTATACGAAGAAAAAGCTAACCAAAAGGCCGCAACTCCAAGTCGGATACTTTGTTCCGTCCTGAAGCCCCCGAGTGATTTAGTGATCTCAGATTTTTATAGAATGTAAAGAAGGCTTCTGCCTATAGAATGGACAGTTAAGGTAATTTTTAGACACAATTCCTTTCGACACGAAGCATTTTACGGCGACCCGGCCGGAACATGAAATCGGCCGCTGAGCTAGGCTCGGACTAGTTCCGCTCGTAAAAAGTCGCGGCAAGCTTTCTTGAGGCCCAAGTTTTGCCCAAAGATGCTTGGAAGCATCAGGATACACACTATAACCATCAATAAGCTCCTTAATGCGTTTCGACGGTTTTCGAGCCCCAAAGGCCAAAAATCTAGCCCATTTTACAAATTAAAGTCAAATTAAATCTAGATTCGAGATTTCAGTATTCTTAACGTTTCAAAACTTACTTCGGATTGTTTTCGTGCACAATAAATTATTCCAGGCACTGCCGATGGCCCCAACGAAATTTGGATTTGATTTTAACACTGCGATAGCATGCTGATGGGAGCTGCGGCCCGCGACCGCATAATGAGCCTCCCTTCTGAAGCTCTATCCAGAAGCACAGAGCAGTCAACTTAAAACCCAATCAATATGTAATGACCTAACTCATAATCTTTTGTTTTATTCATCAGAAAAGTTTGGGTTCGGCTTCTGTCAATTTGTAGAAGCAAAAGTTTTGTATACACTTTCTACTGGTCACCCTGTAGTTAAATTAAATTGAAATCACTAGTAAGAGTACTGTTCCTAGTATAATACAGGGTGTCTCAATAAAAAACGCCCCCCACTACGTCGATGGAGAAATATCGGATCAGGATGTGAGTTACACCATTCGAAAGCCCTTCAAACAGCCAGTTTGCAACAATTTTCAAAAGCATGTTTTTATACAAACGCGCCATTTTACAACACCTTTAAAAACATTAAGGAACGGCCTCTGCATCTAATTAACGGCTACTTCCGGTCATTTTTTATGGAGAATTTAAGGCAAATTAGCTCGTATGCGACCCCAAGAAGCGGTAAAATTTTGCAACACGGCTTGTAAAATAGGCAGTCCCATCCTTCAAATAAAAAAAATTGGGCGCTTTGGAGTGATTTCTAATCGGATTGTTTGAGGTCTGGCCTTGGAACTTCCGGCACGTGGCTTTAATGCGACCAATAATTTTTCTCACGTTAATCATCTCCTCGCAGGTCCGCCTAATCATTTCGATGACGCGAAGCGTGCTTTCCGGGGTAGGCAGCGGCGCCCGGGGCACCCCGAGCTCCTCGACGAACGGCATCGATCCGGCTGAAATGGCCTAGGTTGAACGGGTCAAACAAAAAAAAGAAGTCGAAATTGCTACGAACCCTGTTCGTTGGCCCTCGGCAGCGACAGGTAGTGGCGGATGTGCATCACCGGCACCTTGACCTTGCGTAGGGCCCAGATTTCGTACAGCGTGCGCCCAACGCCGAAGTCGAGGCGTTTCAAAGGCTGAAATGAGCTTTCAAGTACTGCTTCAAATTTGAAAATATCGTCCAATAACGTTTTGCTTGCTCAACAGTCCAGTTCGCGCTTACTAATAATAGATCAACAAATTTACTATGACCTTATTAGTATTTTTTGGCTTATATTTAAAAAATCATGCTCTCTCAAGATAACACGAAAGAATCGGGTTTTTAGGTGGCGAAAAAAAACCCCAAAACCAACAAGCTGCAAATCGGGTCCGGGAAAGTTGTAGTATCCGGTCACGCAACCGATTTCGCATTTTTGTCAAAATGCTCAGCAGGTCGAGCTGATTCAGGATCAATTGAAAAAACTTTTCGGAAACACTTCTGTCTCGAGATATGACCCTTCAAAGTTGGCTACTGAAGTATCCGGTCACTAAGCGAAAATCGTAGTTTGTTATGTCAAAATGTTGAGTTGATCCAGGATCAGATGAAAAAACTTTTTGGAAAAATCGCTATCGGGAGATATGCAGCTTACACGGCCTCAAAACAGGCCGACCCCGTAGTACGCAATACACCTATGTAACCCAACCGTACATAGGAAAGAACGGAATGGTAGGGAATCGCTGTTTCTTGGGTAAAAAATGTCAGACAAGGCGGGCCGTCGCTTTGGATGGGCTGCCGCTCCACTCTTTCGAGATCGGGCGCCTGGGCGCTTCGCGCTGTTCGGGCGCCCCGATTTCGAAAGCCTTTACGAGCTCGCGCCCATCCGAAGCGACTAGGCCTCGGGGTGGCACGAAGCTTTATTTTTAAGCTCAAATTGGGTGTGGAGAGTAAAGCTAAGCTCTTATCGAGCACTTATCCATATTTTCCCGCATTGAAAATGGATTACTAGGGGCGAGAACAGGTTATATAAAGAGTGGGTTGAAGTCAAACTTTAAAGTGTCCTATCTTTAGACAGAAGTCTCTCCGAAATGTTTTTTTTTCAAATTGATCCTGAATCAGCTCGACCTGCTGAGTAATTTGACATAAAAAATCCGAGATCGGTTTAGTGACCGGATGCGACAATTTGGCCTCGGATCATACCGGAGCGTGCTCAGCGATGGCTCGGATCAACGGCAGGTAGGTATCGTTCCGGCAGCGAGGGTGCGTGTTGGCCATGTAGCTGTGTGCGCCGAGCACGGCTAGAAAAAGGTGACGTTTAGGATATTTGCGAGTTTACAGAGTTGCCTCTAAAAGTGGAGGGAGAATCACACGTACCCATGCCGCGACGGAACGATTCGGGGTGCCGCCGTAGGTTTCCTCCAGAATATCGGCTCGCATGCCAGAAAATGGGCCAGGTTGACGTCCGGCTTGGAACTGGAAAACAAAGGGGAATGGCCCATTCAAAAATATGAAAAATACCTTTGTGAGCTGGCAATTTGTTAAGAGGATCTCTTCGTCGTCTTTGATTCGTTGCTCGAGCTTCTTTTCAGCTTCGGCCTGAATTTATTTGGGAGAGAGAGAACGAGAGAGAGAGAGAGAGAGAGAGAGAGAGGGAGAGAGAGAGAAGAGTATGAAAAAACGATACAACGCTAAGCCCAGCGTCGTCGATGAAGACGACCATCCGATCGTCGTACGGCTCGCACTCGAGCGTCGCCAATTCGCTCCTCCATTCGCGCTTCCTAAGCATTTATTTCATTTGAGCAAGAGCCGAGTGACGTACGATCGGCGGATGTAGAGAATTTCGAAGCCCATGTCGTCGCCAGTCGGGGGATGGTAGAGCAAATAGAGACCACTGGAATCAGGGTTAGACATTTTGAGCCACGGAGTTAAACCAACTTGTACTCATAGGGGCTGGAGGCCTTCCGTTCCTTTATGGGGCTATTTCCCGGGAAAACGATGTGGTAGCGCTTTCGCAGGCTCATGATCAGGGCCTAAAGATTTGTAAAAATTTTAACGTGTTAATGTGCTAGGCTTGAGTGCAGTTTACCACCACCAAAATAAAGAATAAAAAGTTTTGAACATTTTTGTTTATACGGCTTTTTTTATCTAAAAACTGTAAAATGCTACAACAATGGTTTATAGTTTTTGATCGGTCGGTAGCGATTCATGGGGAAAATTTGGTTTGCCCGCGCTAACAGTCCAGAACCGAAAAATCCAAAATTTGTTTTCCCTCACCACTAACAATGTCCTACCCCCGCTAGTAGTCTAGTACCCAACTTCCTAACTGATGCTACGTTGAGCCTCAGTGTTTGGGCCGGGAGCAGCACCTTGAAGTGGGGATGCAGATGGGCGAGGATGAGCCAGTAGGACGGGTGGAGACGGGCGACGATCATTTGTTGAAGCTCGATGGGCAGCGCCTTGAACTTGTCGAACGAGATGGGATCGGCGATGAAGGGCTAAAAAGACTCAAATATCAAACTCTGCGGTAGAAGACGTACATCATCTCTGGCCTTCACTTGATGCTCATCAAGCTCAAACGGCTCGCCAGCTTCGTCCGATTCGGAGTCGTCCGAGAGCCGAAAGCCACGAAAATCCAGGGGCGCCGATAGTGTGACCCCGTCCTCATTTTCGTCCCCATTGTCGACTGGCGGATGGTAGATCGTCTTACAAAAATTAGTACTGGACTGTTAACGGGGGGAAGTCAATCCGTAGTGTTCGGCCCATACCTGTTGTTAGTTATACCGTAGTTTTATAGCATTCTTACCAGGTTTTCTCTTTTACTGCTAGAAAATTTTCTAGCAGTAAAAAAAGAATTTTTCCCGAAAATATTTTCTCAAAATTTTTACATTCTGTGCTTTTTCCGGGTCTTTCTATATATTTTGTTTTGAAAGCCGAAAATTACCAATATTAGAATTTTTCTAGGCTTTTCATGACAAAAAAAGATGCTATGAAAATAGTCTACGTTGCGTGGTAAGGCCGTCCCTGTTCAAGGGCAAAAATTTATAACCCTCATAGTTTTAATTTGCATAATCTGCATACCCGAGCTAGGAAGAAGCGCACGAGCGTGATCAGCATCGCTGGGATGCACCACTCTTCGGGTAGGGTGGTGGGAAGAGAATGAAAAGCTTTTACCGGTGCAGGGGTTTTCGAGTCGAATTTCTTATTCAATATGCCAATTTTGCTAATAATTATAATCAGCATGCTATTCGATATGCATTGCTATTTGTATTAACAGGAGGAAACGGGGGTTGAAAGAGATGGAACTATATAGTTCGACCATTTGCGAGCCAGTTAGGAATTACGGGCTTCCTAGGTCCAAAGATAGCTCCGGGTCCAATCCGCAAAACAAGTGCTCCGGGCGGGGGTCGAACCCGCATCCTACGGCTTTCGAGTCCGATGCTCGACCTATTGAGCTACCGGGGCACGCGGAATGCCTCTCTCAGGGCAGCTATCCATGCTAGCCCCAACCAGCCAGCTATTTGACTGAACTATAAAGTTCAGTCCATTTTCGAACCCCTTTACTCTTCTCTTAATACAAATTACTAGCTAAAAATTGACTGAACTATAAAGTTCAGTCCATTTTCGAAACCCTTTACTCTTCTCTTAATACAAATTACTAGCTAAAAATTGACTGAACTATAAAGTTCAGTCCATTTTCGAACCCCTTTACTCTTCTCTTAATACAAATTACTAGCTAAAAATTGACTGAACTATAAAGTTCAGTCCATTTTCGAACCCCGTTCTGCCACTCCTAATACAAATTACTAGCTAAAAATTGACTGAACTATAAAGTTCAGTCCATTTTCGAACCCCGTTCTGCCACTCCTAATACAAATTACTAGCTAAAAATTGACTGAACTATAAAGTTCAGTCCATTTTCGAACCCCTTTACTCTTCTCTTAATACAAATTACTAGCTAAAAATTGACTGAACTATAAAGTTCAGTCCATTTTCGAACCCCGTTCTGCCACTCCTAATACAAATTACTAGCTAAAAATTGACTGAACTATAAAGTTCAGTCCATTTTCGAACCCCGTTCTGCCACTCCTAATACAAATTACGAGCTAAAAATTGACTGAACTATAAAGTTCAGTCCATTTTCGAACCCCGTTCTGCCACTCCTAATACAAATTACTAGCTAAAAATTGACTGAACTATAAAGTTCAGTCCATTTTCGAACCCCGTTCTGCCACTCCTAATACAAATTACTAGCTAAAAATTGACTGAACTATAAAGTTCAGTCCATTTTCGAACCCCTTTACTCTTCTCTTAATACAAATTACTAGCTAAAAATTGACTGAACTATAAAGTTCAGTCCATTTTCGAACCCCGTTCTGCCACTCCTAATACAAATTACTAGCTAAAAATTGACTGAACTATAAAGTTCAGTCCATTTTCGAACCCCTTTACTCTTCTCTTAATACAAATTACTAGCTAAAAATTGACTGAACTATAAAGTTCAGTCCATTTTCGAACCCCGTTCTGCCACTCCTAATACAAATTACTAGCTAAAAATTGACTGAACTATAAAGTTCAGTCCATTTTCGAACCCCTTTACTCTTCTCTTAATACAAATTACTAGCTAAAAATTGACTGAACTATAAAGTTCAGTCCATTTTCGAACCCCGTTCTGCCACTCCTAATACAAATTACTAGCTAAAAATTGACTGAACTATAAAGTTCAGTCCATTTTCGAACCCCGTTCTGCCACTCCTAATACAAATTACTAGCTAAAAATTGACTGAACTATAAAGTTCAGTCCATTTTCGAACCCCTTTACTCTTCTCTTAATACAAATTACTAGCTAAAAATTGACTGAACTATAAAGTTCAGTCCATTTTCGAACCCCGTTCTGCCACTCCTAATACAAATTACTAGCTAAAAATTGACTGAACTATAAAGTTCAGTCCATTTTCGAACCCCGTTCTGC